CCTGGCACTTGAACGGAAACTTCTGAGACTGGAGAAGTTCTCCAATAAGGTCATACAGACAATCCAGGCAGCCAGGCGACCTTCCACTACTCGGATTTATGATGCAACGTGGAAGATTTTCTGCGGTTGTGGTTCAAAGTGCCACATTGATCCCACCTCAGTGTCGGTGGCACACATACTGGATTTTCTACAAGAGGGTGTGGACAAGGGTGTATCCCCTAATACCTTATGACGGCAGGTGGCAGCCCTGATTTCTGTGGTGTTGTTCAAGGACCTGAGCTCTCTTGCCTAGGGTGTGGGCATTTCTTAGGGGTGCCATGAACTTGAAGCCTCCAGTGGTGCACCTGGGACCTACCAAAGGTATTGCAGGCTCTTACTTCTGCACCATTTGGGCCCCTGCGAGAGGCCAGCCTATGCTTACTGATGTGCAAGGTGGCTTTCCTTGTGGCCATTACATCTGCCAGACAGATTTCAGAGTTGGCGACCTTATCTGTGAGAAAGGATCTATGTGTTTTATATCCGAACAGGGTGGTTCTGTGGTTGGACCCTGCCTTTCTGCCCAAGGTGAATTCATTGTTCCATCGATCACAGGAGTTGATCTTGCCTGATTTCTGTCCAGGGCCTAAACATGCTCTGGAAAGGAAATGGCACACCTTGGATGTTAGGAGGGCCCTCTGCATTTACATCCAACGAACCACTTCCATCAGGAAGACAGAGTCCCTGTTCGTATCCTTTCAGCCGTCAACTCTGGGTCACAAGGTTTCACCTTCCACCGTGGGTCATTGGCTACAGGTATGGCTGTAGCCAAAGCCTACGAGCTTCAAGCTCTTCCAGTGCCCAGAAAGATTACAGCGCACTCTACCAGAAGGGTGGCCACAATGGCGGCTTGGGCAATGCAGGCCTCTGTGGAGGAGATTTGTTGAGCGGCGACATGGTCATCACTGTCATCGTTCATATGGTATTATAGACTAGACACTTTCGACTCTGCGGAGGCAGCCTTCAGCAGGTGCATCCTGCAAGGAGTATATGTTGAGGCGGGGACTCCAGACCAGACCAATTCCTGCCCGTAGGACAGCCAGCTTTGGTATGTCCCAATCTGGATTCACCCGTCAATACAGTGGAGAAGGGGTGTTGGCCTTCCATGAGACGCCCTTTCTCAGGGAGTCGATGGGAGAATCCAGTTCCACCCTGAGGACTGCCTGGTCTAGAGTCCTGGAGGGGCTACCTTTGGAGAAGGACAACAGGATTCGCTTCAGCTTCGTTTCAACTGGGGACTGTTACAGGGAGGTGTGTCCTCAGAATTCAACTCAGTCTGAAGAGCAACGAGACAAGAGACTACCCTAATCTGAATTCTCCCGTCGACTCCCTGAGAAAGGGTGTCTCAGGTAAGACCAACCCCCATATCATGGATGGGGCTTCACTTGTTTGTGTAGCCTGTTGCTGGTATGCCACGGACTGGGAGTTGGGGATCCCTGCTCTAATAGGAATGTTAAACTATGTGCCAAGCCTTTGCCTAAATTTGATGATGGAGTGGATGAAGATTGATAAACTGAACAGAATCAGTATAAGATAGAGACTGAGCCAGTTTGGTTAAGGCACCAGGCTAGAAAGTGGAAGACTGTGAATTCAAGTCCCACCTTAGTCATGAAAGCCATCTGGATGACTTTGGGCCAGTCCATCTCTCGCAGCCTAACCCACCTCACAGGGTTGTTGTGGGGAAAATAGGAGGAAGAAGGTGTGTTGGATGTTGGATGCCTGGAGTTATTCGTAAAAATAAAGGCTGAAGATAGATAGATAGATAGATAGATAGATAGATAGATAGATAGATAGATAGATAGATA